TTGGCTTCTGAAATTCAGAAGACACAGGTGAAACCAGTGTCATCTCCCATTATAGCCAATAGAATTAAAGAGAGCTACAGAGAACAAAGGTACTTATACTGGACTGAAGGAAAAAAATTCCTGAGATATACGTATATCAGAGTTTACTAGGAAAAGTATTAATGTAATTTATTATATGCATAATATTCCATCATATTGTAAATAAGAACATTGTAATGTATTGCTGTCATTGGTTTTTGGCTGGCAATCTGTTGTAGTACCGTAAGATGTTGTGGGGTTTGTTTTTTGTTTCTCAAGTGTAGTTTTAAAAGATGGCAAAGAGCACCTGGTGATGCTCTAGTCTCTTAGATGTTCTAGAGAAAGAAGAAATGTGACTTACAGTATTTGCTCGCTTACTTTATATGGGTAATATTGAATAAAAAAGGTTAATGGATAAGATCAAGGCTAGTCAACTACAAAATGCAAGGCACTGTGTTGGTCTGTGATTATGATCTAGGAGTGTTCACCACACTATAGCTCTGCTCTGCCTACCTGGTCCCATAAGAAAGTAAGATGCGGAAAAGTACTGGAATCCTTCATTCCAAAATATTGTTAATAAAGCAAAGCTTTTAGGCCTAATCTCAGGCTTTGCCACCTTTGCAGTGTCTTTTTTAATAGCAAAGCATTAACCTTGCTGTAGAGTAATGAAAAAAAACACATCTGGACCAACTCATATATGGAAGAGAGAATACAAACTCAGTGAGTCCTTCAGGAAGTTCAAGTAAGGTGTCAAATATTACAAAATGGTATGTTTAAATGTAAAAGACCTCACTGCTTACTGAAAATAAGATTCTCTGTCTTCTTATTTTGTTTAAAGGAAATGAGAAGTTTCTTATTTTTATTGACAGCATTTGTGTGGGATTCTTCTGACTAGTAATATGAAACAGAATGGGAACTTAAAGCACAAAGTCATTTAAAATAAATTCATACAGGCTTCTGAGGTGCAGAACCCAAATCACTGAGACTAGATGTTCCAGGACTTCTTCATCCTTGCACGAAGTAGAAAATGGATGTGCATTTTACTGAAATAGGTGTTCAGTAGCATTTCTAGGTCAAATGAGATCATCTGATAGCTATGCTACTGCAAGTAAATCCAAATAGAATAAGATGCAAAACTAAATTCTATGCCACTTGGGAGAATCTCCAGGTTAGCATGGCCAGGGCTTGACAAATGGCTGCAAAATCTGCCCGCCAGCCCCGCACTGCGCATGTGCAAGACCTGCATTGCACATGCATGTGCCGCCGGTGAACGGGGCGACCGGCTGAAATCTCGCCACGGGTGAGTAGATTCAGTGATTTGTCAAGCCCTGAGCATGGCGGATCAGTATGTGAACATTCATGGGTCCAGACTGTACTCTCTGGATGCAGCAATCATGATGTTAACCCAATACTCCATTCTATAAGTGCTGTCAATAAAAATATCAAGTTTTTTAACTAACGAATGAAGCACTGCCAAGAGACACAGTGTGATGAAATGTTAGACTAAATGCATGAGGTAGAACTGCTGTTTTTTCTCCAGTTGTGATATGAAGCATGACAGACATTAATTTAAATGTTGGCAAAAAAAGGTACAATGGAACAAAATAACAATGTTCACACCTGGTTAAATAAAAGACAAAACTTGTTTCCTATATTTTCTTCCTAACTATTACATTTTTACTTTTATAACAACTTCCCTCATTTAACGTCAATTGGAGCTGGTGGAATATACATTATTTCTGTATTTGTACGTCACCAGATCAAGAGGAAAAAATAAACTTTTTATAATTTTGTACCTGTAGCAAAAGTTTATATTTTTTGAATTGGAAACCAAACTTTTTTTTGTCTTTTGGTCTAAGTCTGACTTTGTGTATTAATATCCTTTTTGGAAAAACCTGAAATATGAGTTTATGCTGTTTACAGATTTTAAATAAATTCTTAATACACTGCCAACAAATTCATTGATGGTGCCTGGTTTACTATTGCTGATAAATGGCTGGTATAAAGTTCAAGTTGTCCTTGCACAATGCAACCAACAGTTTGGTAAGGTTAGCAGAACAATCTGCTGATTTAATAGAGAGGAAAGCTGAGGAAATTCACCTTCACAAAATTATTCATTTCCTGGTTTAGAACATCTGTATTTTTTGTATGGTTTGCACTGAGCATTTGTGAAGGTTATTCAAACATGTTATTTAGCTCAGTCTATGGCTGTGAGACTTGTGGATGGCTCTTTACCCTTCCAAATTTCTCAAATTATTGAAATAAGTAGAGTATGATAGTAATTATAGTACTATGAAAGTAGGTGACCAGATTGCCAGAAGCTGGGATTGGATGAAAGGGGATGGGTCACGTGATGGTTACCTGTTTTGTTTACCGGCAGTCCCTGGGTTACGCGGATCCGACTTATGTACTTACGAACGGGGCTTTTCTCACCC